TGATCATTATTTGGGAGCAGAATAATAGTTTTTCTTTCATACAGATGAACATACTTTCTAGAAGAAGTAAAGATTTAAATGTACCCAAGGAAATTAGAAAAAAAGTAGATGAGTATTAACTTTGAAATGAACAAAGAGAACTTGAAACAGAAATAGAAAGGAAAAACCAAGGACTAGCTTTATAAAAACAACTTCTTCTAGATTAGAACATGCTGTAAAGAAAATCTGAGCGGTGACTGTCAGATGGGGAGAGGACATTTGCAACATTTAATATAGAAAGTGTTTTATCAATCAATGTGATTCAAATGGCTAAAAATCTTGAAAAAACTTTAGCCTTCCTAACAACTGAACTGAAGTGAATTAAAATTGTGAGACCCCATTGTTATATATGATAAACACGTAAAAATAGGACATTTTTACACTCCTAAAACCCAGTGTTTGGGGATCTGGGACTCTGAAGTGCATTTGTGGGAATGAAGTGATCGGAGCCTCATTTGATGCAAACCCATGCGTGCTCTGTCCAGAAATTCTGAGAATTTAAGGATGATATCAAAAGCAGACATAAGGTTTTACTCGGACTGTTTACTGGAGTGTTCTTTGTAAGAAAAAAAAATCAGTATCCTAAATGCCAACAATAGTAACTGAGTAAAATAGCTTACAATCCATAGACGAAATAAATAGCAGGTGACAGCTGGTGTTGTGAAAGAATATTTGTTCACGCTGTATGTCTCGGCAAAAACAGAGTGTGAGGGGGTGCGCCCTTATGATCAGATTTTATTTAGCAATGTCTACCCAAAGCGAAGTTACAAGAATGCGTAAGAATATTAGCAGTAGTTACATTGCTAGCTAGCTCACCCGTGGATACTGACTCACTAAGGTGCATACGGCACTTTTACAAAAAAGTGAACAAAACAAGGCGTATGCTTCCCAAATCCATTAGCCATTAGTCCATCAGAGCATCCTTGGATTCCTGTTTGGCTTTATCGAATTTTGTGATTTGGGTGGGTGTGGTGTGGTGATGTGTATTTTGTATTCGCTGCTGGGTGCTGACACTTAAGAATGGTTTCCTCTTTGCTCGTAGCCTGTTGGCCCTGGAAAGTATGTGTTTGATGTTGGGTGTGAACAACATGGAGAATACCGTTTAGCAGACATGGTAAGTTGCAGAGCACGTGTGGCTTTTTCACATTCACAGGCAAAGGAGCTGCTCAAACACACTGATCCTACAACGCTGGAGGTGATTCAGCTCTTAGCGACTTTGATGGTTCCATCTTCCTCATTTGCATGTGTTGGGGCAGAACTGCACTCACTGCCAGAAGCAAACACTGTCATTTCCCGGTTACTGCCATTTTTGTCGCTAGAAGCTAATCCTGGCCAAAAACAATGGCTCACGCCTGTAATCCCAGCACTTTGGGAGGTCGAAGCAGGCGGTGGGATTTTGGTTTTTCTTGCCGTGTCCCTCATCAACCCCTTGGCATCACCCAGAGGCCCTGCTTTAAACTGACTCCTTGTCACCTTGGGGTCAGCTGTGAGGCTGGGGAAAGCCACCCTTGGTCACAGGAGGTAGAAGCCACCCTGTGGGGGCTTGGAAGGCTGCGGGAGATCCTGTGCATGATGGCCTGTCCCACACCTGCTCCGGGCCACCCACTGCTGTCTGCACCTCATGCTCTGTCCTTTTACCCCGAGGGCCCTGGCCCTGAAGCCTCATTTTAAACTCGTCACCGGTTTTTCAATTCAGTGCTCTCCAGACAGTTTTATAAACTTCTCGCATTTTTCTTCCCAGAGTCTCTTAGATTCTGAAACCGAAGGGAGCCTTTGAATCTTTATCCCTTAACCCGCCATGGTCGAGTGACTGTCCATGCTCCGTTGCGGCCTCCCAAGTGGCCAGGGTCTGGACCTCCCCAGGGCACTCTCGGCGCTGACCTCAGCCACCCTCTTTTCCTGATTCCCGCTCCTGGGTGTTCTTCTGTCTGGCCACAGTTTCTCAAAGCAGCCCATGGTTGCTCATGGTCCGCCTTTTTGGCTGTAACTAGAATCCCATGTGGCCTCACAGTGACCTTGCCTTCTTTGCCTCTTCTCCTCCTGTTTGCTCCAGCTAAAAGGAACCATTGGCTAGGGGCAGGTCCCTAGCAAACCAGGAAATGAAATGGCCGGAATGCTTGATTTTGTTGCTAAGCATGAGGCCCTACCTCCTCTGAGCATGGATTCTCATGGACTGCAGGGTGCTCTATTCCGGGCTGCAGGCAGCTTCCCTTGGTCAGCTGCATCTAACAAAGCATAGAGGAATTTGACTTACTGTCTTCCCACGATGTTCCACTGCATTTGTGTGTGTGTGTAACCACCTATACACATAGTCAGAAGCTTGAGAAAGACAGCTGGCCTTAGGGTTCATTTGTGGCAGGGAGGTGTTTAGTATTATGCTGGGATTTCCATGGGGTTGGACACCTCTCACCTGTTTCCTGAAGGAACCTATTGGTTAAATGGTTATTTTGTCAGCGCTAGTAATAATTGTTTAGGTTTACCGGTGACTGAGCAAGTTTTTAAATTTTTGTAGTGATCAAAATACAGCCCATCTTATGTGCTTCGTAGCTTTAGACTCTACTGGAACAAGTTACTGGAAGTCAGTATTTCAGGATGGGGAGAAGGTAGAAAGAGCACTGGGAACATCTAAGGGAGAAAATACTGATGTAAGCCCCATGTCCTGTGGCTGTTTAGGAAAAACCACCCATGAAATAATGCCACTAATGAAAGCTTTGTCACAGGCCGTGCTTCGGGGATTCATTAGGCCTGCGGCCAAACGGAAGCCTCAGTTTTCCTCTTGCCCCACCCAGTGAGGGGAATGTATTCCCTCTAGAGCAGGGCTTGCCAAGCTGCAGCCCATGGCTCACCACCTGTTTCTTTGTAAATCCTGGTTTTAGATGTACATTTATAGAATATGAAAGTCGCCAGTTCAAAGCATGCTTTCAGTGGCATTCGGCACATCACACCGTGGCGCAGCCGTGAGGACTGTGCATTTCCGGAATGCGTTCGTTCTCCCAGGCAGAAACGCTGGACCTATTAAGCAACAACTCCCCTTTCGATCTCCCCCAGCCCCTGGTAACCTTTAATCTACTTTCCTTCTCCATGAATTTGCCTATTCTGCGTGTTGCGTAGAAGCGAATTCATTCTGTGTTTGTCCTTTTGTGCCTGGCTTCTTGCGTTTAGCTTGACGTTTGCAAGGTTCTTGTGTTTTCAGGGTTCTTGCTTATCCATTCGACTGCTGGTGGACAGCTGAGTTGCTTCCACGTGTTAGCTCTTATGAATAACGCTGCAACATTGGTGTACAGGCATCTGTTCGAATCTCTGTTTTCAGTTTGCTTGGTTTTATCCCGAGGAGTGGAATTGCTGGGTCACACGGTGACGCTGTTTAGCTTTGCGAAGAACTGCCGAATGTTTTCTGCAGTAGCTGCATCATTTTTCATTCCCACTAGCAAAGTCAGAGGGTTCTACCTCTTGGTTTTATGTATAAAGTTGAGTGCGGTTCCCAAGCTAGCCCTGTCTGCTCCACCTGGGAATCTGTTGGAAATGCAGCTTAGTGGATGCTATCCCAGACCTGCTGAATCCCGAACTCGGGGGTTGGGGGCGGGCTAGCAGTCTGTCCTTTAGTGCTTTCAGTCAAGTTTGAGGACCCTCTCCTGCAGCACGGGGGTCGCCCTTCCTGGGTCCCACACTTGAACACTTTGAGATCAAAATAGAATCATTGATTTCCCAGTGACTCAGTGGAACAGGCAGATGTCTGCCCCTCTTTGCCATCAGTGTCGTCACCTGTGTGGTGGTGAAGTGTTTCATAGTCACGGTGTTGATGCTCAGATCTTTGGAATTTTGTGATAGTCACAAAACTGAGAAGTAGGCAAATATGCCTGGCAAAGTTGGCACATGGGGGCTCCTCACCATTGATGGAATTGTGCATTTTTTATGACAAAGGGTTCCACATTCAGGCTTGATGAACTCTCATTCTGCTTTCCTGGAATTGAATTTTTCCACGTAACCCTTGATACTAGAGCTCTCATGTTTCTGCAAATCCATATCGTTCTATGGACCTCTTAGGAACGTCCTAGGCCTTGTCTAAAGAAACATACAGATCTTTCTTATATTATTTATATAAAGAATAATATAAATAATTATGTTTTTACTAAACTCAGTAAAATAATTATATAATGTAAGAAATTTTTGTATTAGAGTTGGAAAATGTGGCCGAACCATTGAAAAGGCCACTTAATCCTGGCCACCGAGTTCTGACCACGTAGTGTGGCTGTGTCTTAGCTATTAATCCTGGCCATCGAGTTCTGACCACGTAGTCTGGCCGTGTCTTAGCTATTAATCCTGGCCACTGAGTTCTGACCATGTAGTGTGGCCGTGTCTTAGCTATTAATCCTGGCCACTGAGTTCTGACCACGTAGTGTGGCCGTGTCTTATCTATTAATCCTGGCCATCGAGTTCTGACCACGTAGTCTGGCCGTGTCTTAGCTATTAATCCTGGCCACCGAGTTCTGACCACGTAGTCTGGCTGTGTCTTAGCTACTGCAGGTGCTGGGACATGGTCATCCGAAAATTTCTGTGGCATCCATTATAAAGCTCGGGCCCAGCACTGCTCTGTAGAGCTCATTTCTCAACCCTGGCCCTTTCCAGGTCCGTTCTTGACCCTTAGGCTATCTGACGGAGTGCCAGCAACTGGTCTGATTCCTGAGTGACGTCCTAAAAAGGCTCAAACACAAGTCAAAACCTGTCCTTCCTCCCTCACTTTTAATATTCCAGACGAATTTACATTTTGTACTTAAAATAGGACAGAGGAGAAGAGGAAGAGGAGGAAGAGCTACTAGCAACAGTTGTTCCAAAATGGAAAGCTACCGAGATCACGGAACTGGCCCTGTGGACACCGACCCTCCCCAAGGAGCCGACCTCTACGGATGGACCTGGCCAAGAGGGTCCAGGAGCTGAGGGTGTGGGGCAGCCCTGGAGCTGGGGGGCGGAGGGTGTGGGGCGCATTCAGGCTGTGTGACTGAGGACATGGTGGGGCACCTTTGGCCTAGGGGACAGAGGGTGTGGGATACCCCTGAGCTGTGGGATGGAGGGTGTGGGGGTACCCCCAGCTGTGGGATGGAGGGTGTGGGGGTACCCCCAGCTGTGGGATGGAGGGTGTGGGGGTACCCCCAGCTATGGGATGGAGGGTGTGCAGTATCCCTGGGCTGTAAGATGGAGGGTGTGGGGTACCCCCCAGCTGTGGGATGGAGGGTGTGGGGTAACCCCAGCTGGGGGGTGGAGGGTATGGGGTGCCTCTGGGCTGTGGGGTACCCCTGGGCTGTGGGATGGAGGGTGAGGGGTGCCCCCTTGCTGTGGGGTGGAGGGTGTGGGCTGTCCCCGGGCTGTGGGGTAGAGGGTGTGTGGTGCCCCTGGGCTGTGGGATGGGGAATATGAGGTGCCCCAGGTGGTGGGGTGGAGGGTGTGGGGTGCCCCCGGGCTGTGGTGTGGAGGGTGTGGGGTACCCCCGGGCTGTGGTGTGGAGGGTGTGGGGTACCCCTGGGCTGTGGGGTAGAGGGTGTGGGCTACCCCGGGGCTGTGGGAGGGAGAGTGTGGGGTACACCCGGGCTGTAGGAGAGAGGGTGCGGGGTACCCCTGGCTGTGGGGTGGAGGTTGTGGGGGTACCCCCGGCTGTGGGGTGGAGGGGGGCTACCCTGGGCTGTGGGAGGGAGGGCGCGGGCTACCCCTGGGCTTCACAGCTTCGGGTATCCCACACCCTTCACCCCACAGCCAAGGGAACCCCCACACCCTCCATCCCACAGCCCGGGAGCACCCTTTCTCTCACAGCTCGGGTGTGGGGTACCTCTGAATGTGGGATGGAGGGTGTGGGGTGCCCCCAGGATGTGGGATGGAGGGTGTGGGGTGACCCTGGGCTGTGGGATGGAGGGCATGCGGTGCCTCTGGGCTGTGGGATGGAGCGTGTGGTGTACCCCTGGCTGTGGGGTGGAGGGATTGGGCTACCCCCACTGTGGGGTGGAGGGGGTGGGCTACCCTGGGCTGTGGGAGGGACAGTGCGGGCTACCCCCGGGCTTCACAGCTGCGGGTACCCCACACCCTCCACCCCACAGCCCAGGGGCACCCTTCTTCTCACAGCCTGGGTGTGGGGTACCCCCGTATATGGGATGGAGGGTGTGGGGTGCCCCCGGGATGTGGGATGGAGGGTGTGGGGTACCCCCGTATATGGGATGGAGGGTGTGGGGTGCCCCCGGGATGTGGGATGGAGGGTGTGGGGTGACCCTGGGCTGTGGGATGGAGGGTGTAGGGTGTGTCTGGGCTGTGGGATGGAGTGTGTGGGGCACCTTTGGGCTGTGGGAGTTGTGGGTTCCTGTTTTCAGGATGTGATTGGATTCTCTGGAAATCAGATGCTGGGTCAGTTTGGTGTACAGGCTATTATTAGGGAGAGGCTTTGGGATTGGAGCACACTTCTGGGGAGCTGAGCGGGGAGGAAAGACACAGACTGATTGGACAGAGGCAGAGACATGCCCGCCACCACCTTGCTTCATCCCACGGGGAGCACTGTGGCGTCCTGGGGGGGACCTTTATCCCCCTCACCTGGTGTGTCTGGCACTGACAGAGGCTGGGGGACAGTCCTTCCTTGAAGAAGGGTCCACATCACATCTCCATGTCCAACCCAGTGGCCCCGCTGGAAATCCTTAATGTGCTGGGGAAAGTTGAAGGTGCCTATGCTGGGTGAGATCCCTTCCATGGTGACTGGCAGAATGCCAACTCCGGTTGGCCTCTGTGAAGGATACTCATGCTGCTAAGAATATCTTGGCTCATGTGACTGGGAAGCTTGGGGATAGCCACAGACTGCAGCATGGCCGGGCAGCCTCTGCCCTGTGTCCCAGCAATCCTCTGTGCTGGCCGCCCTGGACGGCACTCTCAGGAATCCCAGGAGACAGAGGGCTTCTCTTCTCAGTATTCACATCAAGACCCTCAGGAGTTCAAGTGATCGGACCACCTGCTCCCATCCCCGAGCCACTGACTGCAGTGGGGCCTGGGCTGGGCTGTGTGGACCTTGAGACAGGGACTGCGAGGTGCTGCCAGTGGGAGGGGGAGGGCGAGGGCACGGCAGCCCAGGGGACAGCTGCCCCACACGGCTCCGCAGGCTCCAGTGTTCCCAGGAACTCAGTCTTTTGACCTTTGTTTTATCTCAGGTACAGGAGCACCTGGGGAGGAGGCCCAGGCTCTGCTGGAGGGCTTCAAGGGTGAGATGGAAATGAGGCCTGGAGGTGAAGATGCAGACGTCCTCAGGGAGGAGGGCCGGGAGTATGACCAGGACGAGTTCCACTACGACATGGAAGAGGGTGAGTCCCTGCGCTGTGAACTGGGGCGAGGGCCAGCACACAGGGGCACAGGCAATGGGATTCCCCTTCCCTCTACCAAGGCCTGCCTTCAGCTGGGCCCCAGGGACTCCAGGAAGGCTTAGGGGGCCCTGTGAGTGCTCACTGGAGCGGGGGCAGAATGTTACTCCAGCGCAGGTACTCCTGCAAGCCTGGCTGCAGTGGGAACAGCCTGGGGCTGCAGCGGCGCCCATACTCGCTGTCACGGGAGGACAGACCCCAGACATGTAGAACCTGGCCTTCTTTTCTTGCATGATTTTTTTTTTTTAAGATGGGAGGCTCACTCTCTCACCCAGGTTGGAGTGCAGTGGTGCGATCTCCGCTCACTGTAACCTCCGCTTTCCTGGCTCAAGCAATTCCCCTGCCTCAGCCTCCTGAGTAGCTGGGATCACAGGGGTATGCCACCACACCTGGCGAATTTGTTTGTCATTTTAGTAGAGGTGGGGTTTCACCGTGTTGGCCAGACTGGTCTCAAATTCCGGACCTTAGGCGATCCACCGGTCTCTGCCTCCCAAAGTGCTAGGTCTTGCCTGATTTTTAGCAGGGCCGGTTAAAGGCTGTGGTGCTGGAAACTAGCTCTTTTTAAGTGGGTTTGGATGTAATATTATCTAGAAACTTCTACCTCGCCAGGTCACAGGGCAGGGATTTGACATTGGTTCTGACTGACTGAAGCTTCAGGCTCTTTAAAAATCCTTCCCCGGTGCTTGTGGACACTTCCAGAAAGCCCGGAGGGAGGACTTTCTTCTCTTAACGCACTTTTCACATGAGTCCGAAAGTGGGTGTCGTGGCTGTGAGGGAAAGGGCCATCTGGGAGTAGCCTGGGCACGGTGGCGGCAGGCGCAGGTCTGAGGTCCCTTCGATTCCACTTAGTGTGCCTCTGTTGCAAATCAAGAATATATGTCCCATTCCTTTGACAATAATACCTGAAGTAATTAAATCACAAAAGCAGTTTTCTCTTAGATGCTTTAAGCACACATAGCTAGACTTCCGTGGTCAGCAGTTCCCCTGGGCGCTGTAGCGAAGCCCCCAGCAATGCACTGCTGAGGTCAAGCATGTGGTGGGGTGGAAATCTGGCTTTACAAGTGAACATCGTCTCTGCTTCTCTGATTTGCACAGGGTGGATAGAGTGAGCCCTGGTGGGGAGGGGGTCCACAGGAATCGGCCGGGACGGAGTGGCTAGAGTATGCACGGTGTTAGAACAGCACCCAGCTGTGCTCACAGAGGACTGACCTCAGTCGCTGTGGAGCACGGCTGGGGGAGACACTGGGTTTGATAGGCGGTGTGGAAGTGAGGAGTTGGGCTTTCACCCTCCAGCACCTAATGGGAAGCTGGCATAGAGGAATCAGTGAGTTCCCTGCAGTGACAGGGGCATGTTATCATGTACCCAGCAGAGATGATGACTCACCTGGGGCGGGACCAGGAAGCTCCGGGTTAGCTGGGAGGGAGGTGGCAAGGAATGGGTGAAACCAGGAAGGAAATTCCAGGCAGAGAGCAGAGTCTGACAGCAGAAGGGTGTCGGGGTGGGGAGGCGGTCCCTTTCCCTGGGGACCTGATGTCCTTTGAACTTGGTCCTGAGCCTGGTAGGGGCCTCTGGGGACATAGGGAGTGCCTGTATCAGGCTTTCCCTCTGAGCTTCTCTGGGGCAACGAGGATGGGTGCCTTGGAGCCAGGCGAGGCAGGAGGCCCCAGAAGCTTTGCTGGAGGAGATAAGGGAGGGGATGGAGGAGGAAGAGTCATGGAAACTGGACTGGGAGAGACAGGGCCAGCGGATACCACCTGGTACCAGCAGATGCCTGAGACTGCGGTTCACGCATCCGTCCCAGCCTGCGACAGAAGGAGCACCCCCTTAACTAGTGGCGTTGGGGCTCCAGGGGACAGTTGGCAATGCCTGGAAACTTGTGATGCTGGTGAGGGAGGTGCTGCTGGCATCTTCCTGAGTGGAGGCTGGGGACGGTGCTGAATCCCTGCAGGGCACAGGACCCCAGCAAAGGGTCACCCAGGCCACAGTGTCAGGACGGCCTAAGGGAACAGGGAAAAAATGTACAAAATGGTTTCATTGGCAGAACACTTATCCCAATAATACAAATTCAAGATGTATTCATCACGAACCCCACATTACATTGGAGATTCACCCCACTCATTTCTTCTTCAATATACCCAACAGTGAACGTGACAGAGTTTTGTTAATAATAAAAAATAACTGTCTTTCACAAAACATGTAAATATAGCATCTTATGAGAATGTAGCAAATTTCTGCCTTTTTTTTTTTTTAATTGACAGAGTCTTGCTCTGTCGCCCAGGCTGGAGTGCAATGGCAGGACCTCGGCTCACTGCAGCCTCCACCACCAGGTTCAAGCGCTTCTCCTGCCTCAGCCTCCCAAGTAGCTGGGATTATAGGCACGCACCACCACGCCCAGCTAGTTTTTGTATTTTTGGTAGGGACGGGGTTTCACCATGTTGGCTAGGCTGGTCTCAAACTCCTGACCTCAAGTGATCTGCTCTCCTCAGCCTCCCAAAGTGCTGGGATTACAGGCGTGAACCACTGCTCCCAGCCTGCTTTTCTTTTAATTCGTATAACAGCCAAGCAATTACATGTTTTATCCACAAAGCTGGCGGTTTTGGACAGGTGTGCAGGCATAAGAGAATTACTGACGTTTCATGGAGAGTCTTGTCTTAGCATTTACTTTGCGTACGTATTTTGCTTATTTTATTTCTGGTACCAAAAGAAAAACTGTTGAAGTGCATATGAGATAAAAGGTAACGTTCCATTTTTGACTGATGAGTGCTTAATAGTTATAATAACTTTTTTTTTTTTTGCAAAAGATCTCTTAGAAAATAAAGACTTTAAAACCAGAACAAAGTAAATTTGAAATACAGTCATGTTGCTCTTTTGTTTTCAGGAAACATTAATTTTGAAGAAGAAGAAACTAGGCAATCAGACCGCCAGGACTAAGATGAGGGGAGCTGAGAGGCGCTCGTGTCGTAAGAGTGCTCTGTCATCAGCCTGGCGTCGGGCTGCACAAATCCAGTCCCAGCTACTCGGGAGGCTGAGGCAGGAGGACGGCCTGAGCCGGGGAGGTTACAGGTGCAGGGAGCCGAGATCATGCCGCTGCACCCCAGCCCGGACGACAGAGCGACACCCTGTCTCAGAAAATAAGCGGAAACAAAATGCTTCTGTCAGTTGGCTAGTTAATAATCGTTATTAGAGAGTTCTTAGTCTTTCTTTCTCAGCTGTGTGTTAAGTTGGTTTACAATTGCAAATAAATTTCTTTATTATCCTTCCTTTCTGAAATAGCCTCTGCTTCAACTTCTGTAACCTGAAGGTTACTGTGTGGTTTTGCCATGGTTTTTCAGTGCTGTCTTCCCCTTGGAAAAAGAAAACTAACTCTGTGGGAGACGGTGAATGGAAGTCTGGCTTCTGGCTGAGCTGGGAGAGTTATTCTGTACCCAACCCCCCTCTCAGACTTCCTGCCAGGGAGTGAGGAAGTGCTTCGAACACGAGGCCTGCTGTGTGCAACGCTCCTCAAATGCAGTGTGATGGGTAGATGGGTGGCTTGGGTGGGAGACCCCCGCTGCCCCAAAGGCTCCTCCCCCGCTTCACCTCTCCATGTGGAGCCAGGCCCACTGTGGGGCCCTGCAGGCGGCTGGGGAGGAGGGCCACCCCCCAGGCCAGGCTTTGTCCTGCTTGCACACGCTTTGGTTTCTGAGTGTGCTGGAGGCTGCCACCTGCACCTCGCTCATGTTTCTTTCGGACTGTCTGAGACTCCACCTCTCCTTTCTCTCCTCAGTGCCAGGCAGGGCCCCTAGTTCCTGGGCAGGTAAGTGAGGACCTCCCAGGGGAGCCCGACTCCCCATCCTGCAGTGCTCTCCTTTGCTCACCCTCCCCTCCCCTGAATTACTTAGAGGGCAAGTGTCTTTTGGTTCACCCCAAAACATCCTTTAGAGTTGGTTTAACGAATGTCAAGATGTTTGCAGTTTGTCCCAGACGTCATCAGTCTACCCCGAAACAGTTCACCCCAGACATCATCAGTCCCCCCCCAAAATGTCCTTTAGAGACATAATCTGGGGGCTGTGTCTCTAAACACGGGGTCTGTGGAGACAAAAGTGGCTCCCTGTTGGATGCTAACCGGCCATGCTGATGTCTGACCAGCCCCAGTCCTGTGAAAGCCTCCTGGTTTCCACTTTATCTACCATCTCTAGTGTAAGAAAGTGTCCACCTTGACATTACCGCACAAATTAGAGGCAACAGTGCACATGGCACTCTGCTGTCCTGGAGAGTTGCCTTTGTGTTGCTAGAGCATGCATGCCCTTGCCCTGCGGTATATATGTCCTGGGTCTGGGGAGTCACAGTGCAGAAATCCACCCGTCTTGTGGCCACCCAGGGCCACGCTGCTGTATGTAAGTTCCCCAGTATATCAACCAACACCGACAAACTGGGTCTGTCTGCCCTCTCTTTTGACTTCTCGTCTCCTTCGGCATTTGGGGGCTGCTTTGTATACACAGTGCTTTCATGAACAGGACCTCTAAGACAAAGCACACAGCCGGGTGTGTTGGCGCGAGCCTTTAATCCCATTTACCTGAGAGGCTGCAACTGGAGGACCGTCTGAGCCCAGGGGTTTGAGTCTAGCTTGGGCAAAATGGTGATGCCCATCTCTAAAGAAATACATCTAAAAAAAAAAATCTAAAAAAGAGCAAACAGCATACAGCATTAGGAATATAAAATTACGTTAAAACAAATGTTTATTTAGAATAGGAAAATAAATTACAGTAAAATTACAAATGAAAAGTGGAAAAGTGGCACGAAATCTAGAGAACTGTCAGAATATTCATTCACTGCTTAACACGACTCTGTAATATGTCTCTTCCTACATTTTATTCCAGCATAATCTTTGTCTGCCTCTTTTTCAGACAATTTTGTAATATTGTATATAGGGATATTAGCAAGATAATTACACTGTTTCTTTA